TTCTGTTTCAGACCATTTCAAAGATTAGTTCAATGTATGATTTACAGTCATAACAATCCTGTTGCACTCACTGATGTCCCCACCTTATCTGGGATGCAAGAGAAATAGAGTGCTTTATTTTTTCCATTGTATCCTAGTAGCCTCCAGCTGCAGCCCCCCACCCAATGTGATGAAGAAAAGGACTCTAATGTGGTAGTGCAGGGCATAAAATTCAGAGACAAGTAAAATTTTTCTTTTTTTCCCCCAGAATTTGTGACCTGTTCATTGCAGCATTAGAGGGTAAAAACTATGCGTTTGATTTATACACCTGCTAGTAAAAGTCAACAGATACAATCCCCAAGTAGGATATTTTGTGTTATTCTTGTGCGTCTTCTGTTCAGATGAACACTCTCGTAGTCTAAAAACAGGGATTTAATAACGTTCCATTTTTCAAGAAAAGTCTATTTTTTAGCCAGGAAAGACAAGACCGAGGAATTTAATGCCATCTGAAATACATAATGTTAATAAAGATTTTAAGCCGGTCCAGCTGGCCGCAGATCAAAGATAGCAGAGGAAGCGCGGCCAGCCCTCCCAGAAAAGCTGCCTTTCTGTTGTGGGCGAGCGAGAGCGGCCGCCAGCCCTGGGGTGGGCTGGCCGCTGCATCCGCCCCTGCACGGAGCCGGGAGCATCCTGCCACGGGGCCGGGGACTTCTCTTCTGAGCTGGTTTGGTCCATCTGCAAATACCTATATGTAATGTGCAATCATGCTACTGCACTTCACACGGCATCAGAAAGGAATCTGTATGGATTTAAGATTTTTGAGTATGTACACAAGCTTTGTGTTTACAGTACAAATCTGACCCTTAATCCCGGGGTTTCCCTGACTGCTTTTAAAAACAGTATTACCTTTGTGGTGGAAGTGTTTTTAAGGAAGTTATCATCTCTTCAGCATCTGCCAACAAAGCTGTTTAACCCAGGCCTTTTACTATGAGGTTTACTTCATGTAACTCGTTTTGGGTTATCAACCTAACTTTCTTTGGACCATTTCTGAAAAATAAATTATTTAATTAACTAATTAAAGAGATTGGATCTCCTCATTTCCATCCTACTGAAGCTGTTTTTTAATTTAAAAAAAAAAAAAACCATCACACAGATCTGCATTTTTCTGCCCTTGGCTTTGGCCCTTCAGAGGCTGAGGCTGAGCAGAAGCTCTGGGGATGCAGCTGGAAGGCCACGAGCCCCCGGTGCCGCTGCGGCCCGCTGCAGGCCGGGCCCTTACGTCGATGGCACTCGCTTCTGTGTACCCAGGGGACGAAGGAGCCTTTTGTCTTTTGCACGTGAGAGCCGGATAGCATCCATTTAGTTTGTTAATGTGGAACAACGGGGGTGTTTTATGTCCAGAAATGTTGGAGGATCTTGAAGGGCCCAGAGAGCTGCTGCTGAAAAATGGTGCCTGGCAGCCCTTTGCTTTGGGGCTCTACAGCTGAAGAAGGTAAGGGGGAAAGGAGCTGCCATAGGCAGAAACCTCTGTCTTTTTCTCTGCAGGTAAAAGTGCAAAACAGTGGCTATGGAAAGGAAAAAAACACATGCAGATGGGGGAATAAAAAGGATTAAGAGGCAGAGGAAGTGAAGGGCATCTGCTTCAGTTGCTTTGCTCTGCCCTGATAACACAAAACAGATGTATTAAATCGAAACGCAGCTAATTTTGTGCTGCTTGGCTGCTCCCTTTCTGTTGCAGATTCATTGCAAAGTACTGACAATGTAAGGTATAAAAGCTGCAACTTCCAAGCAGAACAAAGTAGGTTCTTAGTATTTTTAGAACTACTCTGGCCAAGGCTGCCTTTGTGCTTTCTGTGAAAAACTCAATATCCAAAACACGACATAGTGCCCGGAGAACATGGCGTTCAGAAGTAGCAGAGCGCTCTCGATGCCGAGCGCTGGTGCCACAGGGGCTTCCAGTTAAAAAACAGCAACTCCCGCTGGTAGATCTGCCCACAAAGAAAGGCGCTTGGTACCAGGAAGATGAACAAGCAGCTGAAGGCACAGCAATGCTCAGGGAAAAAGAAAAGGAAAAAAAAGATGTAATTCTTTAAAATAACAATATGAGCTCCTAAGTGACAGAAGTGTCTAGGAAGTGGCTGAATCTCATCTGTTTTCATTGCATTAGCGTTGTGTGCTCTCAGTAAAAACAGTTAGGATTGGTGAACTATTGTCCTTGTAAAAATATTTGGATTTATTTCACTATCACCTCAATTTTGGGCTTTAAATGCTTGATTTAGGAGTAATCAAAATATCTTTTAATCTAGGAATATATACAATGTGCTTTGTTCTTAGCATATGAATATATTCAATTTTAACTAACTTATTTTATCACACCAGTAAGGATGAAACTTAAAAGAAATCGGGCTTTTCCAGTTCATGACCTAAAGTGTTTCCTCTTTGTGTTTGAAGACATACTGAAAATAAAATCTCCAGACAAAAAACATCCCAAGATAGACCTGATGTGTATCTTTGTGTTACATCCTTGAAGTGCCCAATGCAAATGGCTAAGGGCAAAAAGTCACGTTGCTAAGACAGTCTTCAACCGCACACCTTCTCATGGTGGAGTTTTGACTTCATAACGCTAGAGGTAGAAGTAAATCACCTCTTACAAACGTAATTTATATGAGTGTGTGATAATCTTGAAGGCAATCCATTGATGTTGGAGGAAAATGCAAGAGGCTGGATGCAGAGGAAATACAATAATCGCTTCAAAAGAAAACAAATGAATTGTTAATATCTTACTGGCTTAGATCATATCACAAATTGGTAACAAGATCTCAGAATATGCACACAAGGAAGATACAGAAAAGACAAACAGGCTACAAAAATCTTGGAAATTTATTAGATAGTATAAAGGCTAAAACTCTAAACATAAATTAATCCTAAGATAATATTTATTTAGTGTGTCTTATTAAATTTCTAACACAAGATTAGCTTTTTTATTATTATTATTTGTATATGTTAATTGTTCCCAGTATAGTTTTTAGGCTTTTATGTATACAATATCATAGGGATTTGACCAGACAGAATGTGATTATTGTGGTGTTCAGTAAATGGTACAAATAAGATCTGTGATCAAAATGTTAGAGCTTCTCATGACAAGGCCAGTGGTAATGATGTGCGGTTGTGGCTGCTCTTGACAGCAGTAGTGAATAATGTAGCCAAATAGCATGCTGATAGTATTAATGTTTTCTGGAATATTGGCAATATTTTGCCACCTCCTCACTTTGACAGAGTCTTCTCTGACATTCTCAATCTTCTACTAAGCACTAAGCGGTCTTACAGTTATTTGGCAGAAAAAGTCAGAGTTTACTCTGGGTAAACTCCAGATTTAGCCAAGTAGCTTCTTTTTTTCTCTCTCTCTTCTTGTAATACACCTACTCTCTCTCCAGTCTGCACTTAAAATAAAAAAAAAGAGAGAAATTTGAATGTCTATCCAATCACCACTACTCCTTTTGTGCTGGTCAACTCACTTGTGTTTTTTCTTTAAATAAAACATAAATTTTATGTTGATTAGGCTTTTCAGTGCTGTATTTCCAAGTGAAGCTAATAGAAACATACTTAAATCATGCTGGAAGCCCTTGTGGGAACGTAGTTCTAGTAGCTGCACGACTGTCCTCCCTTACCATACGCTGCAGCGTGGCGTACACGCCAGCTTACATGATGTGAGAAGGTCATGTCGTCTTTGTGACCACCCATTTGTAGCTTCAGACTTCTGCCTCCCAGCCAGTTAGATGAAATAACAGCTCCAAATTTTGCAAACTTGAGACGACAATTTAGTATCAGTTAAAATGAAATCGGACGGAGTTTCAGTGAATTGTTTGGGGTGCCGGGTTTTCAGTTTGAAAGAATGTGTAACAGCCCACACTGCTGATTTCTGTGTTGTTTTCAGCTAGTTTCATATCAAGTTTATTCCTACCTCAGTTCAGGTTCACCAGGAGGTACCACAGCTTTGTGGCCTTTCACCAAGTCAGTCCAAAACATCATGTGCTAATGAGAAGTGAAATGCACAAATAGTTGCCTTGTGTTTGTCTGTATAACATTTTTCATAACTGCTGTAGGATAATAGGTCTGTGTTCCCCCTTTTTGTAAAGCTTAGCTTATTAATCTTCAATCAACTCTGTCTTCAGCATCTGAGAAAATGTAGACCATGTTTTATATGACCATCTTATCTATATAGTTTCTTTAATTCTAGTGGACATCATTTCATTCATGTTTTGCAAGATCTGCAGAGCAGTTTTTAACAGACCGAATCCTAACTAAATAGAGAAATTTATGTATAGCTTGCAAAGCAGGTTATTGCCCATAAAAAATGTCTGGTTTGGGCTTTTATACTCCCTGCTTCTTGGGCACAATGGTACAGTTATAACATTTTTGTTTCTATTTCTCAAAAGGATTTATAAAAACATTATTTGAAATGAATTAATGGAATTTCCTTATTTTTCAATTTCCTATTGTGGAAATCCATAAAAGAGCTGATGGGCAATTTCATACTCCTGAACTTTGAGACAGACTGGTTGGTTAGCTTAAGTGTTGACTATACTCTACATAAAGGGAAAAGAGAGGGGGCAGCTCTTCAGAAATATTATTTAGTTCATGTAACTTAAAGTCTTGCTTTAAGTTGCCATTTTCAGGAATTCATCTGTTTCCACTTGCTACAAATGGGATAAACGAAATAGGCTGTGTAAAGTAGGTTTTTAAGACTGGGATGACTCCTTACCCATCTCTCTTCCAGTTAGATCTATATTGCTAATTAAGTTAGCTATTTTAATGGAGGTATATTAAATATTTACATAGAATGCATTCCTGGCAGTAAGTCATTTTCTATTGATGATGTAAGAGAGCCTACCCTTCACAAAAAAAAAAAAATCTGGCTATTATTCAATGTACTTTGATGCCTAGTTAAGAAATAGAGAGGTTTTTTATTCTTTCCAAGGAATGCCCTTTCAGATTTAGCAATTGTGTGTTCTGTTCCTCAGGAGATGAGAGAAGATCGGGATCGATCACGCCTAGATTCCATGGTGCTGTTAATTATGAAACTGGACCAGCTCGATCAGGATATTGAAAATGCTCTCAGCACCGGCTCTTCCCCATCCAGCACCCCAACCTACAAACGGAGGCATATACCTGTGAGCAAGGTTATTTAATCCCTCTTCTAAGCAAAACCTTCTTCAGCTTCTTTCTTTCATTCATTGTGTTTTCAATGTTCAATTTCAGACCAAAAGTTATTTTCGTAAAGAACTTGTTGTGTATTTCTTCTTGATTTTCTATATATATACACATATTATAAAACATATATGTTTTGAAGGAACTAAGTGGTGGTATCCGTTAGGTACTTTTGGCATCCTTTCATAGACGAGAGCGTCAAAGGTTCTGCAGTAAAAGAGAGAGAGATGAACAACATTCAGAAAATGTCTGGCTTTCTTATTACCACTTACTGTAAATGCAGAATCAGCATGGAGTCAGGATCACACCAGGCTCGGGGCACATATGTATGTGTCATTAAATAGTTATGATTGCAAGTATGAGTTACAGATCTTGTTTTTCTGCTAAAGGTAGAGTTCAGGTTGGTTGGTTTGCTCGTTTTTTCAGAGACATATTTAAGAAATATTCTGTCATGTGAAATAAAGCTGTGGGAGTATCCTATGCATTTATTTCGCTCAGAGACTCCTTCACTGAGAGCAGTGAAAAGGAAGACTATGCAGTTGAGAAATATGATTTTTTTGTATGTTTACATATAAAGCTGCGAAGAACATGAAAGGTCTGAGCCAAGGTGCTTTCATACAGGCTTCCTATTAATTTTATTCAAATATATTGCAGCTGTACTTCAATTTAAGAAACCTGAGAAATACCACACCAAAATGTTGGTGGTGTTTTTCCTATTAAAGCCGGACTGCATTACTACTGCATAGTCAAGCCTGTAAGTGAGAAAAGCAGTATTAAAGTTACAGTAGTTTTGGCCACCTGAAGAATATATGATAGCCTTATTTTTAAAGGATACAATTATATTTTAATCTAACTGGTTCTTTGCCAGATATTTGTCACAATTTATGTGCCGGTGGTGTAGTCTCCCATTCTCATCATAAAGAGTAGATCAAGCATGCACTGTATTTTTAAAAACCTGTATTTACTTCCTCAAAAATAAATCATCCTATTATTTCTCTTCTTCTTTCTACTTTCAAAAAGAGGAATGTAACCTGCCCATAAAAAGCGGGGCACTTTAACCAAAAACAACGTTTGGTGGTAAGTCTTTGCTGATTCTAAAACCTGAAGGGTTGTACCTCTGGATGGTACGAACTGCTGAATGGTGATGTCATTTCAGCTTCCTAACAGTTTGCAGATGTTCGTGCGCTTACAATGCTGCCGGAGACAGAAGGTGGGAGCGCACAGGAAATACTGACCTTCACAGAAAAGTGTCAGACTGCTGGACTGCTGCAGCCCTTAACTGATTTTTCTTACCTTGCATTCTACCATTTAGGACAATTACAGCTTTGATGTTAGTGATGATTTATAATTTCAGAACAGCAGCTAATGCAAACCACCACACTGAAAAGAAAGACAGCAGGAGAATGGGTAGGGAACAGAAAAGAATCCTTCTCTCTGTTATACAGAGAATTAGGCATATATGTCTGAGTCTGTATAAATACTTTTGTTATTTAGAAGAACTCACTTTTTATTTTGTACTCATATGTACTAAAGAGACTCTTTTTTTTTTACAGGATGTTGAATCTGGTTCTGAAAGTGGAGTGGATGTCACTTCAGTAAATCACTCGCAAACAAGCTTGTCTCCTAATGTTCATGCTCCTGACCTAGGATCTTCCTGTTCAGTTGCCAGCGCTGGAGCTAAACCAAAGGCTGGGGTGAGTACAAAGATTTTTTTTTTTCCCTTAACAGCAATTACGATACCACTCTGGAATTGAAATAAAGATATTTTCAACTATTCACTGTAGCGGGTTGTAAATGTGTGCATGGTGCTGGCAAAACAGACTAATAAAGCTTCTTGTCTTGAATACTTTTTGAAGGGCAAAGAATCCGTAAGCAAACTACAAGTTTGACATTTAGAAACAAAATATGATCAGCTGATGATTGTAATGGGTTAAGTTTTCATATGAAAATATAAACTTTAACGGGCCCGTTTGATTTTACTTCTAAAGGTAAGATTACCTGCAGTGGTAAGTACCATTCCTCCACCAGTGAAATAGCAGGAAATTGAGTACTGAAATCTGTTTAGATGAATGATACTGCCTAATGGCCTGTACACTCACATCGTATAGAATGGCAAGAAGTTCCCAAGTCCTGGTTAGCCCCACTGAAGGGCAAAAGTCATTCTAAGGCCAAATTTGGCAAATAGTTTCACTTGTTTAAGACGAGAGACAAACCTTACAGCAGTCAGACTTTTTGTAGTAGGGGAGGTCAAGTCGGAGAGTTCAAAAATGACATGGAGCTCAGCATTTTTGATCGCTTTTGCCCAGCTTTTGCAAAAGTGCTAAGCATTCTTTTCTGAACACTGCTGCCAGCCGTGGACAGTGTACCTGAAAGGTGGCATCCTTATTATCCTTATTCTACAGTATTCAAGCAAGTCTTCCATGTACTACTTTCGTTTCAGTGAAATACTTGCAAGCTGTCAGTGGGGTCTTACTTCTCCTTCACTACGTATTTGATCCATGTTCCTGTATTTTGCATCACTGACTTTCACAAGAAATCCGCCTATGTAATATTTACTCTGCAGATGGGAGGCAATGGAGCTCTCATCCTTCGGTATTTATTGATAAATAGCTACATCTATCTATCTATAAATATCTCTAAGTCTTTTCTTGTGCCAGTGTTTACCTACTGAGGAATCCTTAACACTTCAGCTGTCAGCACGTGCAGAAATTCTTGGATATCCCAGAAACTCTTGGCATACTTTGTGTTCCCTCTTGCTGTTACTTTTTTCACTCTGTCACAAACTAGAGAAATCAAGGCTCTTCCAAGCTTTGTCTGGGCTTACATGTCTTACAGCTATTATCATTCCAGTCAATTCACCCATTTAGCTGCTGCTGGTAATTGGACCAGCAGAAAATCTGGAATAAAATATTAAAATATAAAGTGTGGTTAGCATAAAGATACATGTTTATAAGAAGTTTATGAAAAGTAAAATAAAGAGGCAAACTGTCATTTTTCTGCACTGCAATAGCAAGTTAACTAATGTCTTCGATTGAGGCAGTAACACAAGTTCTAATAAACATTTACATTTAGGATTGTTCGCTTGTACAAAAATAAATTCACTCATAATCTATCATCATGCATAACTATAGCAAATAGAGAGCTCTGCACTCTGTCATAGCATACACTGCAGCACAAATTCTCAAATAAGTACGTATGTTGTGCTAGAAGGTGATATCCCATTTAGCCAGCTCCTGAGAAGAACAAAGACACTCTTTAAGGTATTAAACATCCTTTTAAAATGTAGATTTATCTGCTAATATTTGGGGGACTCTGGCTTTGCAGTAATGTGGGTCACTTAATTTGGCGCTAGATACCATATGTTAATTTACCTTTCAAAAATATTCTTTGATGTTGTCTTTCCTTAACACTTTTGAAAAATGAAATTAAATTTCCTCTGAACTCAGTTCTTTCCTAAGATTTTGCAGGTTGTCACACTCTGCAGCAAGATTTGGGATGAGATCTTTTTAGCAGTTATTTTGAGATGAAGGCTGTATTTTAACTCTTTTCATAGGTATGTTAAGTACATAGTGTCTATCATTTTTGTTCAACAGAGTGTAGATCTCCAAATCAGGGGGGAAAAAAAAACAGCCCCTCTCAGATACGTTCCACTGCTTTTGGCTTTGTCCTCTCAGATTGCGTTGCCTGTGTCCTCTTCTGATCTACAAAGTGAGGGCTGTGTGCTCTGTGCCTTGAGCTGTTCGGCTTCAGCTGCCTCCCTGCCCTGCCTGCAGTTTGATTTCAAATCAAATTTGATTTGAAATTGTATGTTTTCTTTGAACATACTAGGAGAAAATAATCTTCAGTTCTAAGTACTCTGCGTCTTTAGCTCTGGTGTTCATCTGGTCTGCATAGCTGAATACTACTAGGTGCTTGCCTGGAATCATACCCATACTAAAGAAGTGCCTCTATCCTTCTGGTTGTGTTTAGTGTTGAACTCTGTTAGCATGAAAGTTTAGAAAGGGTCTCCTTGAAACACTGGCCAGAAGAGATATCAGGGATGCTTCTATGCAGATGGTATCCTTAGAGAGATCATCTTTGAATACCCTGAAAATATGGAGTTCTATTTTAAGGGAGACATTTGTTAGTAGCTATTTTTTGTCATAGTAGCTGATGCAGGAATAGGCTTATAATACACAGTGTTACCAAACTGGAGGTTTTAGAGGTGGTTGTTTCAAAGATTTTCCTTCCTTTTTGATGCAGTGCAACTGGAGATCTTCAACGATTCCAGATGCTTATTCTCCCAGGGCAACTTGTTTTGCTTATTAATAGTATGTAAACAAGAGTATGACTGCAATTAGTTATATTATGGAATGATATGTGGTATTTTTAAACAAACTATAGCAAGCTGTTGACTGTATCAAAAGTGCACTATGCAAGCAAAACAAGACCTCATGTGGAGACTTGTGGGGAAATTAATGATAAAGCAGAGACTTTGATATGGGTTCAAGTCTAGTCCCTGCTGTAGAACATGTACAGCTACATAACTTCACAACACCTTATCTTACAGATAGGAAACTGTACAGACCATCTGTCCTTTCAAGATTGTTAAGCCCTACATGGAGTTACAACAAAATAAAGTTTCTAATAAGGCCATAGTGTGCTGGGATATCTCCAAGTAGAATGTGGCATGTTAATCCTAGTGGAAATGATTTATCTATCAGTTCATGGAAAAAGATAATATTTTACATTTTTGTTAGTAGATTTTATAAAATGTTAAAGAAGACTTCCAGTAGCAGTGGTATTCAAAATTCAGTGGCAATTGTTGTTTCTCTTGCACAGTAATAGTAGACTTTATTTTATGGAAAGATGACTGAATTTCCTATATATAATGTGTATGTCTGCATATGTATATGCAGAAGTTATTTTAACATCTCATAAAAAACTACATTTATGGACAGATGATTCTTGTTAGTGTTCTAACATATGTGCCTACATTACTTATGTATACATTAATTTATGAATATAAATATGTACCCCCACATAGTACCCCTTGCTAGATATAGAAATAATAAGAAAGAGCACAGTTCCCCTCAGAGCAGTGTATACCTTTCTGTCATTATGTTGTGCATCATGCAAACCTTTAATCTGCAGATTTAAATGATGGTTTGGGCCTATGAGAAATATGCATTTGAATAATCTTCATCCTAAATTTAAAAATCTGTTACGATAATATTTCATTCTCAAGGCACAATAGTATGGTGTGGTCATTGGAGAGTGCACCTGCCATGTTATATAGGACCGTATAATAAGACACATTTTTTTAGCATCTTTGTATTACTAAAGTTTATGGAATAAAGCATGTTCGTGCTTCTATAATTACCCCATATTCTATATTATGTTTTTTATTCACCAGTCTCCAAAATAGACAATGATTTTTGGATATTAACTACACACTTGGCAAGCATAAGTCACGTGGGAGTTGAAATCAGTTTGAAAATATATGAAATCAACAGGCTTTTGCCTCAGTGGTCATGAGAAACACTGAGAAATAGGAGTGTCTGGTCTGGATTTGGATAGCAAGGAATGTAAATATCCTATATGTCATTGCTTTCTCCAAACTAACTCCACACATCTGGACACTAAGAACATTGTTCAACAATAAAACCCAGAAACGACTGAGTTTTAAATTTGGCTTGATTGTTATAAAAACAAGATGTGGTACAGAGTTCTAGAATGAATTTTAATAACAAAGGCTAAGTTACAATAGCCTTGTCCAGTGATCAGTTAAAAGTTAGCTAGTTGGGGAAAGGAAAGCTTGAGTCAATTATCATTGCTGGCTTATTTTTGTAAATAGAAAAATTTGGCTAAAGTACAAGAGCAAGTAAAGTAGTGGGCAAATTTTTGTCCTTGAAAACTTGCTTTGCAATATCTATGTATTTTCTGCTCAAGCAGAGGAAAAGAGGGGGCCAAAAAAAAAGGCTGTGAATACTTTCTGCTGCTTTTCTTGGCCATCCTGTCCTTTCTGCTTCATCAGTGCTCAACTTATCTTAATCACATGTACAATTGTAATTAAAAATCTATTATCACTAGAATAGCTGGTATCAAGAAGATTGTTTTTCAGATTAACTGTAACGACTCAGTTAGAATGCATTCATTTCTCCAAGTGGTTTTAGGCACCAGTTATTCCTGCAAGTACAAAATGACCTAGTCTGGCCAAGCACTAGAATAGGTTCAGGTGCAGCCACTAATTTCAGTGGAGTCCTGCATAAGCTCATGGATTTGTTTTCTAAAATCTTGTTAGAAGAGAAGGTCGGATTATTTAGATGATAGTTTTGCAAACCATTCATCTAGGTGTATCAAAATAATGTAGCCTTTCATGTGTATTTTTGATAATTACCGTATTTTAAAATTTTAACTGTTTAGACAAAGCCAAGTCATTCTGTGATTTGTAGACAGCAAAAATTGAGTTCACATTCTTTCTGCTTTAAGGCACTGTGCTGAAAGTTGTGAAATTAAACAAAAAAAATTAAGTATATGAAAGAGGTACAAGAAAATTTCCTATTTCAGAACCAAATACTCATAAAGGTGGTCAGTAACTGTTTAAAATGCTTATATATCCCACTACATTGTGTTATCTATTAAATTCAGGGAACTGAGAGGTGTTCCTTCATACACACATGCAGAGCATTTCAGTGAAATTGTGCAGGTATGT